ATCCAATAGTAATATTTTATGTAATTCTATATAATTCTTTATTATACTAATATATTTATAAGTAAATCAAATGTAACTAACATTATGTAACCTAGTTCTGAAATAAATAATTTGAATTGAATTGAATTTGTCAGAAATCCGAATAAATGAGATCGTAAGTGAGATTGCATCTTACGGAATACCTATGCTGGTCATGAAGCAATTTTATGTGTTCACATTTTTATAGGTTTCACTTCTATCTCATGTAAACAAAATTTGCCCGTTTTTTTAATAAAAAGTTTTTAGATCCCTTTAAACAAAGCAATTCATATTCATGAATGGCAATTCTTCAGCGGGAGAGAATAAATTACCGGCATTCATTCTTATAGATATAGGTATACTTTTTTGCCGCGGTATTCAAATTACGAATGCAACACACGTACCACCGCTACGCTGGTATTGCTACAAATACTTCGAGTACGAAGGTACGTGGCACTGTGACGATATCATTTAGGAAGAGAAATTGAGCAATTTATTGGGTCATTACTTGTCTGATTATATCGGGAGTGCAAAAGTACTGGCCTAATCTTTTACAGCGTTGATACGAAGTGGTAGGTAGATAGGTATTACATTATAAAGGGAATATGTATCTAATCTATCTTATTATACAGGCTGTCCCAAAACTTTGCCACATGGAGGGAGAGTAATATACTTTAAGTAAGTAATTTACTATACATAGTAAGTTTTGCTGAAAGAAGACTACATTATTATTTAAATAACAATATGTTCTGTATTTTTTTTAATTATTTAATCTTTAATGCCTTTACATTGCTTATGGCGGACTTAATGCCAGCATGGCATTCTCTACCAGTCAACCGGAAAGCACGTGCAGAGTCAATAAAACGGCAGACAATCATAGGAAAGAACAAACATCATACAATGAAAAAACAAAATTAAATAACGTTTAATACATACACATATACATACATACAAACATAAATATACATACATACACACACATATACATATATACATAATATACCTATAATATAGTGTCCGATTTTAGTATCCTGATTCAACTTAAGCACTATGCAATAGATTCAAATAATGTTACCGCACCGAACTCTTAAGAGGCATATTACATCTCGACTGGGATTTTTGCATAAATTGGCGTTCTTGATCTCAGAAACAAATATACATTAACAATTTTGACCTATTGAATAGTGCAGAATAACTATTGGCCTAGTTCGTAGCGGCCTCGCTTTTTGTAAATTTTGCTTAACTTTTTAATTAAACCCAAAATTGCAGAGAAAGATTTTCATAAAATGCGCGAAGGCACTTTTTTGAGCTCCTGGATTGAACTACTGTTCTAAGCAAATTAAATAATAATATGAGAATGTTATCTCCTATATAGTCGTATAGTTCGTAGCGGCCTTAGAATTCTGAAATATCTTTGATTTAATATAGAAAAAAAACTCATTCTAAACCTAAAAATCTTCGAAAATCGCTTAAAGTTAATTGAGATTTACTCCTATTTGCGATAATATTAATAAGCAAAATTTATACCAGAACAATTGTTACTTCATGAGGAATAAAGATTTTATAATTTTAAAGTATGAATTTATTCACTTATTTCAATTAATACGATAAATACAACTGCAAAATTACTACAAAATGCGATGCGCCGGTCGTCCAAACTCAGTACTGCGCGAGCACTCCTCAGCGTCGGACCTGTGTCAAAATTTTTCACAATTTTTCGCGCCATAATCGATCGAGCGTCAGAGCATAGTGCGACCAACAAGTTTTGATCAGGTAAGTATAATTATTTTAAGTGTTTGTTTTATATGGAATCTACATAGCATTGTCTTCAATTATTCTTTTAATATTAATATTTATTTTATTATTTTCAGCATGGGTCTAAAACCTCTAGGTATAGTCGTGTAAGAAAGTTAAGATATACATCTACATTAAGAAATTAAAAAAAACCAAGGTACTTCTTTCCTCATACCATACCATACATATATAATATTAACATATAATATAACTGTAAACGGACCAATTTTGCATTGTTTTTTTTTTAAATTGTCTTCTTAAACGCAAAAACTACTTAACGGATTTTGATGAAACTTTGTTTTTGTATCGCTCTTCGTCCTCTGTAATACATTTTATTTTGAAGATAGGAATACCTAATTTGGAACCATAGCAGACCAGCCAAACTGTAAGAGATACAAATATAGATACAACGAGTATTTTGTAATGACCTAAAAATCGAAGGTCTGGTGCACCTGATGTGAAACTCGAAACTGAAAACTGCTTGCTTAATATCATTCTCATTTAACTATTCATTACTAATTATTTATAATGTCACTGTTTCAGAATGAATAACTTCTCTGCCAAGAAAATATTATTATTTCCGATGGATAAAGAAAATATGACATTATCGCTACTGTATTATTGTAATGATAATTAATTTAATTAATTGATTTTTGACACAGCAATCAAATGTAGGTAAACAATTACATATTATTTGTCTATTAAAGATGTAATAGTTTATAGGTAATCACATGCATATGTCCTGCAGTTGTGTTTTTTGTTATAATGTACACAGGTACTTATTATTATTATTTTTTCTATTTGCAATCTAGTATCTAGATATGGATATCTAATCTAGATCTATATGTAATTAGGAGTAGTCATGCTCTCTTAAAAGTCTCTTCGGCGGTGTCGTGTGAGGCGGATCGTTACGTTCCTTAAAACATGGTTGAGCAAAGCGATGGCTGGTTCATGCGTCATGCTGGTTAACGGGTGCTGCCAGCGCAGATGGGTCTGCTCTTGCTACATTAAATACTATTTATTGTTATATTATTATTTATATCGCTAGAACTAGAACAACTGACATAGCTCAATGGATCGCCAAGCTGAAGTGGCAATGGGTGGTATACAGCTCGGCGAACCGATGAATGTTGGGATCCCAAGGTACTTCAATGGCGACCTCGAACCGGGAAGCGCAGTGTCGGTAGACCCCACACGAGGTGGACTGACGACATCAAGCGAGTCAGGGGGACCTACTGGATGCGGAGAGTGCAGGATCGTTCCATATAGAAATCCCTTGAGGAGGCCATGTCCAGCAGTGGACGTCCGTCGGCTGATAATGATATCGTTATATTTGACTGTAATCGTACTTTTTTATTATGTCTTAAGTGTAGGACACGGCGTTCTTAAAGTATGTATAAATAAGTATTTTTAAAGTGTTAGTATTTTTTTATATATTTTATTTGTGTTTGTAACGGAAAAAGACTTCATGAATTATCTCATATTGAAGTTATTTTTCAATTTGACGGCTTTGAATATAATAGCAGGGAGAAAAAGAGCCCTTGCTGAGTTTCTTGCCGCTTCTTCTCAGTACAAGGTCTCCCGTCGTAGATTTGCGAACCGGTGGCATAGCATTTCGTCATTCACAAATGCTTGTAACAGCCTAGACTGAATAAATGATATTGAGTTTGATTCGTTACAAGAAATTCGTTTTATTTTTGAGGAAGTACATTTCTTACATCTGTGAGTTACTCGTAACAGGGTATTCCTATTGGCCACCTCATAGCAAGCTACCGCGGTGGCTAAGAGCGTATATTGCTCTGTTATGATATGACTAACTGACAGATGTCAATAACGCATTCTCTCAGCGGGCAGGTAATAATATGATGAATCTGAAATAAGCTCATGACTGTTGCTTTTCCACACCAAAACCATTAGATCGATTTGATTGAAATTTGGCAAATAGGTAGTTCTGACTTAGGGTGTTTTATACTGTCATGTAAATAATCAAATATAATAATAATATATATCTAATCTTTTATTTTAATCTAAAACGAAAAACGTAAAAAATAAATTTTGTTTTGAACAAATATCATCTATTTTATTTATGGTATCATCTTCATGTAATCTATTTATTCACATATGAGAACCATGGCACTCTAAAAATGTGCGGGTATAGCAATAACGAATTACTACATAGAAATACTAAAAAATATACAAAACTTTGAAAAAAGTATCAAAATCACTTGGTCGTAGGTTCAACACAGTATTGTAAACTCGTGACCTTCAATGAGTTGTCGGGAACGCTTCAAATACCCATTCTCGCAGAGTGCAGATTTGTAATAGGGCTCTTAAACACTGTCCTGTTTGGAGCGTTTCGAACGTCTAGAGAAAGTTATATATTCAAAGAATTAATAAAAATTGCCTGGCTGGACCGGGAATCAAACCCGCTAAATTTGAAAAATAACTTACTGGTAATTGTACTGAACCTACAGATCGAAATACTCAATCATGTAAATCTACTTACCCTTAGTAATATAACATAGCCACAGATTACTTAATAATATGATCATGTTTCTCAATTTCGTTCACAGCTTGAGTAGCAGCGTCTTCGCCTTCGCCGGAATACTCACATCCTTACTCTTCTCTATAACGTACTGTTTAATCCTTTGACTCCGTGCTATCTTAAGAAATGTTTTAACTTCCTTCACACTTTCAACGCATTGATTTTCTTGCGTATTATTGCAGTTAATTACACCGCCGTCTTTCCAGCTTCTTTCTTGTCCTCTACATCCCAAGATTGTCCGGTAGAGATCGCTCTTAGCGATAAGACCTTACATTTTTGCTCTGTATCCAGCAATTATGTACAATGTTTTTTGTGTTTTATGTGGTATAAAATAAAGAGTTTAATTATTTATTAAACTTCTGTGATTAGTCCTTCGAGATTACACTTATTTCAGTTGTAGTAACACGCATTATGTGCTGCCGTCGTATACAATTTAAGAGCAACAATTAACCTTTGACTAAAAATACAATAAAAAAATATATATTAGTAAATATCGGCCGCAGCTCTGGTTTGAAGACAGGATTATGAAAAAGCAGATAAGTTCGACCCTGTGGCAAACACTATAATTTTTACAAGAGGATTCGCCAACAGAAGGTATATAAATATGTGTGTGTATGTATGTATGTGTACGTGTCTATTTATGTGTGTGTATGCGCAGAATGCTTATATATCCGTATATGTGGATATGCGTGCATGTATGTGTGTATAGTTAGTGTGTAGTTGTTTGATGCGTGTAATTTTATAATTGTTACAAAAATGACAACGTCGATATGTCTTTTTTTTTGTTTTGTTTTTGCTATTAAGTGTTATTTTATAATATACTTATTTTGTTTGCTTTTTTACGCCTAACCTGTCCTCGCAAAGGCCCTGCCAGAATACCAGCGCTGATACAGTGAGAGAGTATTCTCTCAATGTGTCAACATATGCTGACTAGTCTCTTTCGACTCAAAATTTAATTTAAAGAATTTGGGGGATGTTCCAAATTACCATTGCTTATGGTCCAATTTGACTGCCCAATAGAGACAGAAGTTATAGTCAAAGAGTTGGCTTGTTTTAAAATAAAATAACATAGCGTTTTTACTATTTGATTTTTGTAATAATTACAAAGAAAGTATTTATCTTTAGTCATATATAGTTTTTTATAAAACCATTGAAATCAATTATATCAAACTTTATATCATGGTCGTTTTCTGCCTTACTCAGTGACTTGCTGTAAGGCAAAGTAAACATAATTATTTTCTTGTCATTTAGTTTAGAGAGGCTTTCAAAATATTTTTCCATAACATTAGAATTCGCATCCCGCAGTTTATTGCTTTTGCTAACTACCTTCTAAATAAAATGGGGTTCTAAAGCAGATGAACTGAATACCTATGAGTAGGAGATCAGTGTATAAGTGTCGGCTTTGTCCCGCCTTCCCGCACCTGAAACACTGTCCCTGCGGTCCTCTTTGAAGGGTCATTATTACCCTAATTTAAATTTCTCCAAAGGTGGCATAAGTTACCCCACCAGCGTAGGTATGAAAAAAATTATGATTTGTAAAAAAAATAGTTTATTACTTAAACTTAAAATATAATTAGACAACACGTGACAAATGAAGCATAAATAATTTCAGATTCTTAAACAGTATGTAATATAAGGTAATCTCATAAGTGTTTTTTCAACTTGAGGACTCTGTCAATAGTAACACAGGGAGAAAAATATAACCCTTGCTGAGTTTCGTGTGGGTTCTTCTCAAGGTCTAACGCTGTAGATTCACGAAGCGATGGCGTAGCTTCTAGACATTCATGAGTGCTTGTAACAGCCTAAACTGAATAATTGATTTTGAATTTGAGTCCTAAGTTTGAGTACGGCTGTCAGCTTTGCAGAACATGCCCCTATGGGGATCTCATTCTTCTCTTCATCTTCGTTGAAGATGTTACGCCTGATGTGGATTCTGGAAGATTAAATTAAGTTACTTTCATGCATGATATGCATCCAAAATATTATTTAGTCCACAGAAGAGGATATCATAATTTATGAACTTGATGGTAATCAGGTTAAGCAATTATTCACAGGTATATCATAAGAATTTGATATAATGATATCTGCCATCTCAAATATATGAAGGAATATCTGCCAGTATTAACACATGGAATATGACTACTTAAGAATTGTAAGGCACAGCGAATTTCCCGCTAAACTTAGAGCACCACCTAACAGGCGTAAAATAACAGTACTTTTGGTAGTGTTGTGTTTTTGTAGGCGAGTAGGGTTCCAGGGCTCCACGGGGTGGAGGCTGGGTCGGGGTAGGCAACGGCTCAAGTGTTTTTTTTTTTTTATATTTTTTAGGTATTGCAAAGTGTCTATGTATATAGGCTATGGTGGCCGTTTATCGCCAGCAGGGCTATATTATTGGTTTGTCAACCTTGTGATATAAAAAAAAACTTTAAAATATTGCAAACTGGTCACTTAAAAATAATTAAAACTGTATATAAATTTTGTAACAATTACCAATCGTTATAGTGTTGCTTGCTTTTGTACTTGAAGAGCTTTAATTAGTAGATGGCTCTGTTGTAAAGTCATCATCATCAATAGTGGATCCTGTTATTCCATTATTAGTCTCTGTTGTGAAATTACTATCATTGATAGTGGATGCTGTTGTTCCATTATTATCAATAGTAAATTCTATTGTGGAATCATCACTGGTGGATACTGTTGTTCCATTATTGTCATCAATAGTGGATTCTGTTGTTCCATTATTGTCATCAATAGTGGATTCTGTTGTTCCATTATTGTCATCAATAGTGGATTCTGTTGTTGCATTGTTATCAGTTGTGGCTTCCGTTGTTCTATTATTATCAACAATTTCAGATTCTTCATTTAGAACATCATTAATCATATTCAGAAGGGGAAATTTGCCTTCCCCGCAAACGTTGTTAAAATCATCACTCTCTACACTCCAAGTCATAACACCAGCTAACCTGTGACTTCGGGCAAATTCCACTTTTGCTCTTATGGAAGCGGTATCGTCGTAAGACACCCAGTTCTCGGCGCTAAAAGCATAAGGCACTGCTGCCAATGTATCCCTTTTGACAGTCCAGTGTTGCGTTCGAATAATGTTGCATATCTGTAAATAAACAAACAAGAGAATAATAAAATTATTCAATGTTATTTTATTGTAAATAGAATTCAAATTAAAGTTTGCTTAATGTTTAAAAAAACAAGTAAACCAATTTAATAAATAATAAAATTTTAACTAAAATAATTATTTTAGTAACTCAAAGAAGAGACGTTGCTCTTTAACAGAGCTGTTAAAGTAAGCCTTCATGGAACAACATAAGGCTTCAATACAACGAGTGCCTGTCCAGAAGGGGGCGTTTTATCACCTTAATTGTGGTTATTAGCGGTTGATCAGCTTCTAATAAAAGCCTCTGATAAAGGATTAGATATACAGAGATATGCGAACGATGTTGTGGCTAGCGTCAATGTGAAGTGGTGCACAGAGAACGATCGATCGGTAAATCTATACATAACAGCAATAATACCATATAATGTTTTAAACTACACATTATAATATTTTTTATTATTCGCTTGCAAAAAACAGGGAACATGGTAGCCATACCGCTCATAATATAAAAAATACGTATTATTACAGTTATACCTTTTACTGGGAACACAAAGTTATTTCAGCTTATAACGCCCACTATAAAAGGTGAGTAAATTCCCGCTCCGTTTTTCACCAAGGTTAGATACCTGGGTGTTACTACCGACCAAAAATTATGGTGAAACAATCACATGGATAATGTGATACAGAAGGCGAAAATCGTCCATTTAATATGCTGTGGACTAGCTGGGACAAAATGGGCTCTAAGCCCAAAAATCGCCCTGTGAATGTACACCGCCATCGTAAGGCCAGTGTTAACATACGCCTGCGTAGTTGGTGGAAAAAAGACACTCCAACGACAGTCATCAACAAGCTGAATAGCTTGCAAAGAATAACATGCCTTATGGTAACCGGTGCTATGTCTTCAACGCCAGGGGCTGCACTGATTGCTTTGCTAAACTTGCCACCCCTTCATTTATTCATAATAAAGAAGGCGAAAGCAAGTATATACAGAGTAAGCACTACTGGTAGGACAGACTGGGGCTCTAAAGCACTGAAGTCTCTCCACCAAACAGTGCTTGAACTAACACCACTAGCAATACTATACATGTCATGTTTCCACTGAGTATTTTTACTACAAAATACAAGGTAGAATGTGGCAATTATACCGGCAGAGAAACGTGGCCAAGTGACTGCAAATCCTGCAAAGTTGAAGTCTTATTTAGTTTACAGATGGCTCCAAAATGGATCAAAATGTAGGATGTGGAATATACGGCGAAAGGCCGTGATTCAACAAGAAATTAAATCTCGGAAAACACGATACTAATTCACGAGGTTAATGCTATCTTAGAAGGTGCATAAGCCAATCATCAGCGAAACTACACAAATTAGGTCATATATTTCTTTTCAGATAGCCAAGTAACGCTCAACGCCATTAAATCGAACACGATATGCTCGAAATTCATGAAAGACTGTGTCGATAAACTGAATAACCAGGTTCAAAAGAATAAAGTTATTCCTAAATATATATCGGTATAATCAGCAATGAAAAAGCTAATGAACTAGCAAGAGCAGAGGCACAGGGGCAACAGATGGGACCAGAACCTACAAATTCTTAAAGACGACCTTCTAAGCCAATCTAAAAAATACTGGTTAAACCAACCAGGATAAGAGCACGCTAAATCACTAATAGAAGGTAACTCGTAAAACGGACTACTGAGTTGATACAGTCGAGCAGGCCAAACACCCGTGCTATTGTAAGAGCCATAACTTGACGCTGAAAACTCAACAGACACCAATATCACATGAAATTAAATGACACTGATGATTGCAGATACTGCAATCAGGAGCGTGAAATACTAAAACACCTTATATGTGAACGTGGGCCTCGCATTCACAAACGCAGAATTCAGCTGGGACGACATTATAATGCACCGAAAGGAAATCAAATCACTAAAAGCTAAAAACGTTTTGAGCTTCTTGGAAGCTGTCTTGTTAAAAGAGGTACTTTAACTTGGTGGCGAAGCACAATAAATCTTCTAGGTCGCAGTGACCACGCTTCCCTTAGGAATGAAGGAAGGAAGGAATAGCCCCAAAAATCTGAAATACTAATACTAATAAAATATAGTATAAGGTATTACTTGTGCAATTAGTTTTTTAAAAGACAGGTTCCACAGGTACTAACATCCCAGGGTTGGTGACGAAAGCCTCTAGAAATGCGAAACTTTGGAAACCAAAGTGGTAGACCAACGTGGTCTAAACCCCAGACAGAAATCACGTTTGTGTTAGCGCTAGTTAAGTGATGAACTTACCTCAAAATATGCAATAGCACCTGTGAGGTGCGTGAAAGGACCCGAGATACCAGGTCCAGTGGCAGGAGCATTTACACCGTTGATCCTGGCGTATCTCAATCTGTATGTATGACCAAAGAATGGTACTCCAAGGACCAGTTTTTCCGGAGGACAGCCTATAAACATTATTTATCATTGAGTATTTTATCGGTAACTCATAGACTAATTTTTTTCATATTTACCTTACTAAAATGTATAATGCTGCGTTGCCACCTAATGCTCAGAGCAGTTCTCAGAAAGTTCAAACATTTGTTCGCTAAGAAAATGTAATGCTCAAAATGTTGTTTACTTTGATGACTGACAAAGAGAGCATTACTTTTCTGAGTCCAGTCAAACATCATTGTACGAATTCGTTCAGTCGCTTTGATATATGCTAGCGATAAACCGAGCAAATATTTGCTCGTTCAGAGGTTTTGATGGTAAGTGAAAACGCAGCATGAGATATATTATAGTAATTTGAAAACATTTGCAGATGTATGCAAATATGTTAAAAATGTAAATATTATCACCTTTACTTAACCAGTACTCCACAGCCACGTCAACAGTGAGCAAAATTTCTCTTGGAACACTTTCTGCTACGTCGTCTCCTTTACGAAGAGCGGCATTGTGACCAGTGAACGGATCCCAAGGACCGTGCAAGTCATGTGCCATCAAATTTACTAAGTGTACGTATCTGAGAATAATTAAATTTGTAATTTAAGTAGAACCCAACCTAATCCTAACAATAAATTTTATTGTCCTAGTCGCCCACACTCCACCGTGGATTTGGTTTCCTGAGAAACTTTACTGGCTAATTCGGAGAAGTAAGTAGGTTTTTTTCTGCAAAAAAATTACCTACTTTTAGGATCTTTGTACTGTAAACGAATAAGAATTCCATAGTAGGTATGTTAATTACAAATTTGTGCCATTTCAGGTTTTTTTGTAAACAATATAAATCAATATATTTGTTACTATTCAAATCCGCACTCACAATTATTATTTACACAATTATTAGTTTCACAGTTAACTCAAAATTCACGGTGTATTGAATAATTGTTAATGTGACCTGATTTCGTCCCTCGAAATTTTTGTTTATGTATTTTTGTACTGTTATATTTTTTTTAATTTACGTATTTGTTCCATCTAGTTTTATTGTTATACAGTTAACTTTTATTGCCGTTTGACATAAACAAATATTTTTTTTAACTTACTGCACCAATGATGCCACATCATACGATTTTGATGCCGCTTCTTGAGCTCCAGATACAGCAACAGTTAGTAACAGACCACGTTCATCAAAATATACTCTCAATTCCTTTAGGAGTACAGAGAAGTTGTCTACGTCAGCTTGATTGTTGGGCGATTGTCGTTGATTGGGATACAGCCAACTAATATCAAGACCGTTAAAGCCATGCTTATTCATCATTAAGATAGCACTGTTGATGAAGTTCCTTCGTAGAGTCGGACTAGCTGCCATCTAAAAATGTAATATTTACTTCAATTAATTTTCTCATCAAGCTACGTACTAACTCAGCTGAATATTATGTTACGTGTGTGTTCCACATTAGAAGTTAAAAAAAAACTCCGAGGTTTATAGTGATTACATAATTTACAAAGACTGGATACTATTGGTCCTGGCTGTAACTCAGCGACTACTAAAAGATACTCAAGTGGCACGCAGTGTGATGTACATGACTCTTGCTAAGTGGAAATTTCTGTTAAATATATTTAATGATGTGGATAATTAGATTACAAATATAATCTCACCCTAGAGAATTTAGCTGATCCTTCATTCCAACCTCCAACAGCCAAAAGGGTTTTTAGTGCTGGGTTCTTTTGTTTCAATTCATTAAAAAGTCCATAGTTGTCTGAAATATGATGAATAATAATAAGTTAAGAAATTCTTTGGTCTCACTCAAATTGGCAATATTTATAAACTAAGGTGGATATAAAATACGAGTCAAGTAATAGTTTTGTTTATTTGTTTATCTGAAGCAATTTTCAGAGCTCTGTTGGGATGATTATGATCCTGGCGTGGGGCACAGAAAGTCTTATATGTTGGACTTATTTTACAATTGACATCAGGTAACCGGATTTTGGATTTTGTTTGGATTTCTGTGAAGAAGTATGTAGCATTATTATGTTTAAAAGCAGTAAATTTCCATTTACAAGAAGCATTCAAAATGCCCATTTTAATGAGCAACTTATAACAGTGCTTAATCTTGATTAGTTTTGAAGACGTAGCGAAACGACTACGAAGTATAATGGACCGACGAGTTACACTTAAAACTACAATGAACATTTCACAATGTGTAGGACCTGTCCTTTGGGAAATTTATTAAGAGTTTAATCTATGAATCGTATAATATATTGTTTGATATTAGAGAACTCACCTGCACCATCGTTTTCGGCTAAGTCTAGTTTCGGATCCATTGATACGACCTGCCCCTGCGTATTTATGCCAGCAAACGCGTATACGAGGTGTGTGCAGAGGTGTGGGTCTAAATGGTCTACGGTGAACCTGCCCTGACCTGCTCTGTGTGTCGCCCAGGTTCCGTAGTAGCAAACCACGACCTCTGCGTAAAATATAGTTATTATACATCGAATTTAGTTAGTGGGCAAAGGCATGCTCAATTATAAATTCATAAAATACCCATGCCAAATTTTTTGGTCACCCTTCCGATGATCATTATCTTGCATTTGTTTCATAATCGCAAACTGAATGCGCAAGCTGCTGCGCTATCGAGTTCATTGAGAGAGACAATTCAAAGAATTAAAAAATTACATCAAAAAGATCTGGGACGGGTAGTCGAAGAAACCCCTCGACCTCACCTCACACACACCGCTGAACGTTATCAAACGTGACATGACGTCACATAACGTGATTCGTGACACGACGTCACATAACGTGACCGGCGTCACACTTTAGCGTGCGTGCAACCGGTGTGCATTGATTTATAAGTCACGTCAAAAATGTTTAAGAATAGGTTTAAAAAACTTCTTACGTTTCGTGTGAGCTACACTCAAGGTGAAGAATAACAACGCCGCCCAAATAAGACCTTTCATTTTGAAAGTGAAATTTTGTACTTTAAGCTAACCGACGGATGACCACCACTTTAATATTGAATCCAAAGAAAATTATTTATATACTTAATTTTTATCATAGATCACACTTGTTGTAAGATAGTGAATAAAATCAATGCATTTTATGCCTCGTCAGAGATAATGATTGACGTGTAAAAAGTGATAGTGACTTTAATTAATTAGCCAAATTTGATTATAGTGATTGAGTTGTTGTGATCGTTATCTTAATTTCTAGTATGGATTACTTGTGAATGTTATAATAAATAATCTGGTAACTCTGCCCTGCTAATTGTAATTGCAGTAATCATCACTTTTGTGATTTTAATTTTTTACAAAAATTACATCCCAATGACATAATCTATACGTAAAAAATATATTTACAAGTTTTTTCTTATTAAAAACATGTTTTTTATTTAAAATGAAACGTGGTACTTGCTGCTAAATGGCACTTGTGCTAAAAAGAACTGCAGTATTAAGCATGTGCTAGAAGATTATACAGTACTAGCTGACCCAGCGAACTTCGTACCGCCATAAAAAAAATAAAATAAAAAAAACATTGTCCAGCGGACAAAATTGTGAATCTAAACCATTCTCAGATCCCCTTGAACACACACAAAAAATTTCATCAAAATCGGTCCAGTCGTTTAAGAGAAGTTCAGTGACATACACACTCACAGAAGAATTATATATATAAAGATTTGCAAGGAATACCAACTAAACCCAAACGCAGTGCTCACCATTACTGTTTTTCAATATAGCGAGAATTACAAAGAGATACTTTTGCGGCGTTAAAACTAAACGCGGTATTCACCATTACTGCATTTGAATGAAGCAAAAATAATCATTGCTAACTACAAACGCAGTATCAAACACGTACTAAGTGATTTTGAACGTCCTCCCAGTTATGACATACGGCGCCGAGACGTGGACACTCACGGCTGGACTGGTCCACCAGTTTAAAGTCGCTCAGAGAGCTATGGAAAGGGCTATGCTCGGAGTATCCCTGAAGGACCGCATCAGAAATAATGTAATCCGACAGAGAACCAGAGTCATAGCCCCTCGAATTAGCAAACTGAAATGGTAGTGGGCTCGTCATATTAGCCGCAGAACTGACCGCCGATGGAGCCGTAAAGTTCTTGATTGGAGACCGCGACTCGGTAAACGTAGTGTGGGACGCCCTGAGACAAGGTGGGATGATGACATTCGTAGGCTGGCTGGAGTGGGCTGGATGAGAGTAGCAGAAAATCAGGAGCAGTGGCGTGCATTAGGGGAGACATATGTCCAGTAGTGGACGAGCATGGGTCGATGATGATGAAGTGATTTTGCAGTAATAAACCAAGTTCTGCATTTAGTCTTAGTAATACTTAATGCCCTCAAGCCCAGATAGTTGATGAGAATACTCATTATTGAGCATTTTATCAAAATAAGGCAATAATGTAAAGATTTTTTGGCGTATGCGATGAACCGGGAAAACCATAGATCATTGATTGGATATCTGCAACCTTGACACAGTATCTTACTAATTAATAAATATACCTATAATGCACAGCTTAAATTTTTGGCGTTCCTTTAAATTAAGTTAATTAATTTATAAAGTAGGCGTTACATTAATTGATTAAGGTTTATTATATTTATATTTACTTTTAAGCATTTAACTGCTAGAATTATAAATCTAAAGAAAACTTTACTAGAAAATATCCACGTGGTCAAGGCAGTAGACGGAATTCGAATCCGAACCTTCCGTCCATCTGCTGCCCGGAAAGCGTGGATTTTTTTCAAGTAAAACAAGTCTGACATAACTTTGCAGCCGGGTATCCACGATGATTTCACTACCGCTTCCCTGCCTGGGATGAAAAAAATCAGCGGTTATCATTCGTATTTAAAATAATACACACATCAAAAGTGTCTAGGGATCAAGCATTTTTATGCGGATTTCTTGAGATTGAGATGTGGCTTTGTAATAAATTTATGATTTTATAAATTTATATGGATCCTTTTTGGTGCATTTCATAATTTGAATCAGGAACTGTGAATCAAATTCGAGTAAAAGATGAAAATCAGCTGTCAATATTTTCCCTATAAAAACATACAACGCATTGAAGACATTATTAGTGCTACTGTTTCCCTACTACTGATTAAAACCAACGTTATTATGGAGCGGCGACGTCATTTAAGCAGGGAAGAAATGCTCAGAGCCGTGGGAATGATAGAAGCTGGTTCCCGGCAACGTACTGTGGCTTTAGCTCTGAATACAAGTCAGAGTGTTATCAGTCGACTTTGGACACGATACCGAAGCACTGGTACCGTGGCTGAGCGCCATGGAGGACGGTATCGCTGCACCACACGGAGACAAGACCGATACATTCAAATCTTAACTCGAAGAGCTCCAACAATAACCGCCATGATGTTAGCCGTGAGGCTTCATCACTCTTCAGGGAACTTAATTAGCGACCAAACAGTCAGAAACCGCTTGCATGAAGTGAACCTTCATTCCCGAAGACCGCTACGGGTACCACCTATAGCAATGCACAATCGTAGGATTCGATATCAATGGGCTCTTGAACACAGAAATTGGGCAGAAGAACAATGGCGTTTCGTGTGCTTTTCTGATGAGTCTCGTTTTGGTATGAGACCGGATACAAGACGTATACGACACTGGAGAACCCCTGGACGCCAACAGCGATTAAAATCCTGCCAGGAAGTCCATCCTTATAGTGGTGGAACCATCATGGTATGGGCGGGTATTTGGATCGGCGGAAGAACTGAGTTGATTTGGATCAGAGGCAACCTCAACGCTCAAATTTATGCTGAGACGATTGTATCAGACGTCATCGTTCCTCTACAAGTGCAAATCGGTCCCTTATTTCAGTTAATGCATGATAATGCACGACCGCACACCGCAGAGTTGTAAGACAGACTCTCGCCGCAGCTAACATCAATGTCCTGCCCTGGCCTGCTCAGTCGCCAGACTTGAACCCGATTGAGCATGCATGGGATATGCTACAGAGAAGAGCTCTGCCGAATATGGAGGGTATCCAGTCGCAAGAAGACCTTTTTTTGTTGTTGCAACGAACATGGGCGGCCATTCCACAGCGTGATTTGGATGAACTCATTTTGAGTATGCCAAACCGATGTTCTTGTGTTGTTAGTGTTCGCGGTAGAAATACGGATTATTAATTGTTTAAGTTACCCAATAAAATTTTAGAGAAAACTGTTATTTCAGTCTTTTTTTCGAACTTTTGTGTTAGTGGTTCAAATGTCAAAAATCCCTTTATTAGGAAAATGGCAAATTTCTTTATTAATGCAAAGGTGACTTGGTTTATCGTTACTGTGACAAACGAAAACACTTTATTTGATGAATCCTTAAAGAAAATTTTAATTAATATCAATCAGGAGAAAAGTTATTGCAAAAATATATGTTGATCCCTAGACACTTTTGATGTGTGTATTAATATGGAATTGATTTTGAGTTTGATTTAGGTACTTTAGTTGAGATACATAGATTGATATTCATTGTTTTTACTAATTTCCAACATACAAAATAAGGACTCCTGCTTAAATATATTGTGGTACCTACAGGTAACTACGGAACCCTACACTGCTCTTGGCACGATACGCCGGGCCGGGCGTAATCGGTAAGCAATGCTCAATAGTGATAAGAAATAATTACGTACATTTTTTACGTCATATTTAATGAGTTCAGCCAAACTCATTTTAAATGCGCATTTCGCTCACTACATTTTCTATCTATCCTTACTAATATTATAAAGGCGAAAGTTTGTTTGGATGGATGTATGGATGGATGTTTGTTCCTCTTTCACGCAAAAACTACTAAACGGATTTTAATGAAACTTTACAGTAATGTAGCTTATAGATCAGAATAACACATAGGCTATAATTTATAAAGATATTGTGTGAATTGTCCAAAATATAACGATAAATGTCATTTAAGTCTGAAAAAATTCTGCAATCTGCAAGCTATTCAGGCGTGTGCTGCAAAAACAGTTAGTGCTACATGTATATAATGTATGGTGAAAATATTTCGAGAGAGGCACTGCAGCAGACGAAATTAGCGCATGTCTAAAAACATCATATCTGTGGACCAAAGTTGAAAAGCTTTATCTTACCACTAACATGCGAGTTCAATTATTCCACGATGTCGAGTCAGGAGCATATGCTCAAAAACTCCTAGAAATTGGTGAAGGCCGCCTGGACACCGACCCAGAAGGTATGGTTCTTTTCACACACCAATTTTGTCATGTTGTGGAGTCGGAAGACGAACTAATTGATCAAGTTTTTCCGAATCTGCAACAATATATTTATAACGAAAATTGGTTGTGTGAAAGAACCATACTGGCTCCAAAAAATGAGACTGTTTCGAAAGTAAATAAAAAAATCATGGACAAAATAACTAGCGAAATATTCGTGTATAACTCCATCGACACAGTTATGTCATCCGATGACACTACAAGTTATCCCGTAGAGTTCCTAAACTCTTTAGAGTTGTCCGGGGTGCCATCACACAAGTTGGAATTAAAGGTAGGTGTACCTGTTTTGTTAATGCGTAACCTGGACGCGCCAAGATTATGCAACGGCACTCGGTTGCAAGTTAACGAACTAGGGAGGCACATTGTGAAGGCCACAATTTTAACTGGAGAAGCCAAGGGAGACAATGTTCTTATACCGCGCATCCCAATCATACCCAACAACTTGCCATTCAATTTTAAACGCCTGCAGTTCCCATTGAAAGTCGCATTTTCAATGACGATCAACAAATCGCAGGGTCAAACCTTAAAGGTAGCAGGCATACATTTGGGCACGCCATGTTTTTCTCACGGTCAGCTCTATGTGGCTTGCTCACGTGTTTCCAAAGCGAAAAATCTGCATGTTTATGCTGAAGGAAAAAAATCGCTAAATATAGTTTATAGAAGCATACTGCAGTAGCTACCTATAGGCCTATGATTAGGGGTTTGCAGTGCTTAATTACTGTATTTCTTATGTTGACAATATTGTTACGTTATTACAGTGCGAATGTAACATCTCAATATTGTCAGACTGTTATATTTTTCAAATACGACCCAA